ATCTATTTTCATATAATTGCACATTACTCCTTGAATTTTTACAGCATTTACAATGAAGTCCCTTTTATTTATAGAATTGCCAATTACATAATTAAAAACCTAACAAAATCAATCACAAATATAATTCATATCATTTTCATAGGCAAGCTTATTGCCATAGAAAACAACTTAATAGATTTACCATTTACCACCAATCACTATTATACGAAATTTAGTTGCAATCAATAATGTCGGAAAATAGAAATTGTAACATCCATCGGAACATGTATTCGGAACATTCATGACAACAATATGCTAAGTTATGGAACTGTTGAGGCTTAAAGCAACTAACAGAAATTGAAGAAGGTTATTAGGGCATATAACTCTGTTTATAACTGGAAATGAGATTCTTATAAAATATATTAACCTATTTGTATATGTGAAAAACTAATAGAAATACATGAAACTGGCAACCAAGTTCCATGATTTAAACGGAATTCCTTTTCAATGTCCTCTGGGAATATAGAATATACATACCTCAGGATGTCTATTCGAAAACTTCCACACAAGTTCAAATCAGGGAAATGTAACTTATATCGCAGTTTTGTACCAGCTCTTACAACCCTCAAAAGGCCTATGGCCGATTTAAACTGAAATAGTTGTTGTAAGCTGAAGTAGAGAAGGTGTGGGAGAAGTTGCAAACTGTAACGTATCTCTCAATTTTGTACAAACGATTACAACCTATGAATTTTTTTTTTCTTTTTTTTTTTTTGCAGTTTCAATTGCTTTTCTGAACTCAACAATGGAATTTTGTGTTGCAATTGGTAGGGATTTGATGTAGCGAAGTTGAAATTGATGTTGTGGGCAAAACACGTAAAAGAAATTGTCGTTTGTTTTTTGGTCTCCTTCAGGAGCAAAGTAGGGATGTAAAGTCAACAATTGTGAGTATAGGTACAATAGGCAGTGGCTTGTCCAAGAAGAAATCAAATATTCAGAGGCAACATGGTAGAAATGGAAAAAAAAAATGGTAGAAATGGGATAAACAAAAAGCTTCACAAATGAATAGTAAACAGTGGGTTGCCTCTTTTAAAATAGTAGAGATTATGTAAAAGACTTAGATAACGAGCTATGTTGAGAATTAGAAATTTTAATTTTACATCATTAAAAGCAATAAAATAGTAATAAAAAATAAAGATACAAAAGAACACGCAAGATTTATAGATGTTCTCTCAATGTAAGACTATGTCCTCATCCGCCGTTGTAGTAATTGACTATGATGAAACAAAAGTTATAAGAGAAAAATCGCACACATTTTATATAACCTCTCTTTTTTATGATAATTACAAAATCCTAATGAAAATTCCCTATTAAAGTCGATCAGCGTACCAATTTCGCACCGTGACTATAATTAGGCTACATATCTTAATGAATTATTCAAAAATTGCGGGTTGCAGACAATATAACTAATACCAATTTTGGGTTGGTATTGGTTATATTGTGTGGAAATTGTATTATGTTGAATCAACAATACTATCTTGCATTGCGCTCACCAAAAATCTAACCTTTACTCAGTTATTCTTTTGTTAGTTAGAGTAGTTGAACGATGCAACTAGTGTTGGAGTTCATTGTGCAAATTTTCTTGTTCTTTAATTCTTTTTATGTCATAAACTGGTGATTATCGCGGTTATATTCCATTGAAATTGACAAAGATTTTTCCTTTGGATTTTTGTTCTTCTCATCACAAAATGTGAAACCCCTTTTTATCTTTTCTTGTTTTTGGCGGTGAGAGAAAAACGATTGACATTTTTAATTTTCGTTTTGCTTTCATATTCAAATTTTGTGTAGATTGTGGTATTTGAAGGCCCACATGTAAAGGTCCCATGAACCATTAGACTATCAAACGGCCCTTTTGATTGAAGTACTATTAGTTGAAGTGGAAATTACATAGACCTTGAAAAAGAAATTATATAGAACCTGATTTTTCAAGTTATCATTTCAAAAATCATATTTAAAATTTGTTTTTGCAAAAATCAAATTATAATTCAACATTTTAATATTAATAATATCTTCTCTCTTCTCCCTTATCCCTTATCCTTTCTCTCTTTATTCCCACTCCATTCACCCACCAGAATTTGCAGCGATGCCATCCATCCATCAGAAGCCACAATGTTGCTGTGAGCAACGTGCATAGAGGTGCTCGACACATTGAGCATTGTTGTGGTACGGCACCCACATCGTTGTGCAGTAGTGCAGTGAGTTGAACTCACATCGCAGTTACGCTCCTTTGTGTGCAGTAGCGGATGTTGGAGTGACATAGGTGCACGAGCAGTGGAACTTGCAGAGGTAGGTGCCCGTTCTAGTGGTGGCATCAAGGCTTTTTGGCATGGTTGTTGATGCAGTTTTCTACGGATGTAGGTTGAGGCAGAAATCGACGATGAGAAGAAGCACAAGTGTGTTGTAGCGGTGGGAACTGTGACTGATGATATTGGATCTATAATATTTATTGACCAATTATTTGATTGATTGTGACAAAAAAATTGGTTAATATGTAATCAATAAATAATAAGTGATTAATTAAATAAATAAATAATTTGTTATTAATAAATAATGTGTGACTTAAAAATTTAATAATTTGTTGTGATCTATCAAATTTGTGATTTGTAATTAAAAAATAATATGTGGCCTATTAATTTGATAGATTTGTGATCGAGAAATAATTTGTGATCTATGAAATTTGTGAGTTGTGACTGTAACGTCTGAGTTGTGACTAATACATGACTGTGACTATAAATTATATACTACTGTGACCTTAATATATTAAATTAATAAAACATCTTTTTAATTAATTATTTTATAATAAAATTTAATTAATATATGATTTTTGAAATAATAAACATTGTTTCTTAATTTTGAAATGGATCAAACTTAGCTTATTATTTTTGAAATTTTCCCTTTGGTTGAATTTAGTCATGTTGAAACCCAAATGTTGGCCCGTTATATTTTGGGCTCAGTCTTACATGTAAAAGAACTGGGCCAAATTGTATTGAAATTACCCCATAATGTGGAGACTAAAGAAGGGGTACTTACAAAAATACCCTTAAAATTAGGGGTGTTTTGAAAAATCATATGAAAGGTTTTTAGGAAGTAAAAAATACTGTGTAAAATGAAAAAGTGATACAATGTCACTTTTTTATAAAAATTGTCATTAATTTTGAAATGGATCAAACTTAGCTTATTATTTTTGAAATTTTCCCTTTGGTTGAATTTAGTCATGTTGAAACCCAAATGTTGGCCCGTTATATTTTGGGCTCAGCCTTACATGTAAAAGAACTGGGCCAAATTGTATTGAAATTACCCCATAATGTGGAGACTAAAGAATATAAAGTTGACCATGCAATCTGTATTAATATCACCCAAGGCAATCTTGCAAGCTTTCGACCTTATTTCTATTTTTTCACAAGCACCGACAAGTACATAAATGTATAAGTTACACTTGGAGACTAATGTTTCACTGCTATTTCACATGACATACACTCGACGAGTCCTGGGTTCACGAGAGCCGACTAAACAATTGGTATTCAATTATTGAGACTTCCGAACTAACCCAAGACACAATCCCAAAGGAACATAAACCGATAGAAAATTGCAACAAGACAATTAACCATGACATGACACTTGATGTTCTCTCTCTCCCTCTCTCTCTCTGTCTCTCTGAAAGAGGTACGTCAAATATTTCACCCTGGCCAAACCTGAGTGTCATTGTGTAAGTGATCGCATTCTAACGTAGTGTTCTAGCGTGTGTAACATATATGTAGATCGAGACTATGAACCAACAATAAGAATATATTCCCACAATCGAGAACTGAAGATTTGACACCAAAAAATTGGTCAATTCCAATTCAGATGCACCAAGGTCGACACTCACTCTTTAGGAGTTTCTTTAAATCCATGATGGCCCTGCCCTAATCTTCTCTTATGGATTATCCGCTTACCACAAGTCTTGAGTAGAGGTTTGAAGGTTCTCACAGACCAAAAAGGGAAAATAATTGTCATGGTCTTTACAAATAATCATTATCTTATCTAATAAAATATTGAAAAGGATTGGATTCCAGCACTTTCGACAAGTAATCAAAAAGATAAATATTTCTAATTAATCTTTAACTAAAAGCCAATAGCATAATGCAACTTGTCTATGCTACCACAAATTTCGAGCTCTGATTTGTGCCTTGGTCTTAAAGTATGGATGACCATGCACCCCTTTTTTAAAATAAAGTTTCATTTTAGACTGAAAAATCCAATTTGCTGAATTCGAATCCCATCATGCATGTATTTCCAAAACTTTAAAGAAACCAAATAAAAATAAAATGCAAAATTGTATGTATGAAACATATGTTCTTTAATTAACTTAAAGAATCCGGGGTGTGGGGATGGGTGGGTTGGGATAACTGTTAAGATTTGAGATTCCATCTTAAAAGGTAAACACATGAATAGCCCAAACTCTTATAAATTGGTCTACGTTTTCATCATTATTCAATGTGAGATTTTATCACTTAACATGCCCCTGCAAGATGGTGAGTCGTTTGAACAGACCAATTTGAAATCCGTGTGCTCAATTTTTTTGAGTCTTAATCGGATTGAATTGCTCGTTAGAGTTTAACGGGTTCTGATACCATGTTAAGATTTGAGATTCCATTTTAAAATGTTAACTTCGTTAAGAGTATGTCAAATTCTTATAAATTGGTCTATACTTCCATTATTATTCGACGTGAGATTTTATCCTAACTTCTAATTTGGAATATTGTAACTGTCAATATTATTAGAAATTACAATCATTAATTGATGAAATAAAAATAGAAAATTAGGATTGATTTTGTGATTGTCTCAATTAATTAATTCATCAAATATTCATTCTAATTAGCGTTCTTCTAAGTTTCCTTAACAGGCTTTCTTCACATTGGCTTGACTGTTTGTTAATTGATCATTAACTTAATCCAATCCTATAATGAGTATTAAGAATTGGAATGTCTGAAGTGAAGATCCTGTTACACACTGCAACTAAGTATGTAGCTTTTATCATCTTTTGGCTTTTGGACTAGAGGAGGTAAGGCATCAATGTCCCATTTCCCATGAATTTTCTTTCATAAAAGTATGTGTGTGTGGGGTGGGGGCTTTTGGGGCAAAAAATATCTTCATTATTACTATCTAAACATTCCATTCTCGGCATTCCTGTCTTGTTTTGCGCTTGAACACCACTGGTGATAGATAACATTACTCTTTTGGAGCACCATGATATTGACATTTGAATGAATAATGCTATTTAACATCTTTCTAGGTGACAGCGGAGGTCCAATTTTTATGATTCAATGAAGTTAAAAGGCATTTTAACTCGTCCGACAAGTCGAGATGAGCGTCCACGGTGACTACTGCTAAATACACATTATTCCTCTTGAATCTCTTATCTGGATACTAAATTGTCCATTAAAACAGTTGTAATTGTATCATAAAGAAGATGTCAAGCACAAGGCATCAATTACAACAAAAAATTGAATGCTTAAGTAATAAGTCAAAGTATCTTGCAAATGGTTGAATGGAATAATCAGAATAAGGATAAAACTGTGAAAAGAATGATAGTGAAACAGAAGACGAACCAACAATATATGGCTAATAAATAAATTGACATCTCATCAAATTATATTATATTATTACTTAAAAAGGATTTTTATTAATTTCTTTTGTTTCTTAACATGCCAATACTTCTAACAGGTTTTTCAACTCAAGGAAGATGAAGGAGGAGCCTAAGAGGCTGATTTTTGGTTCCACTCCAATTATATTATTACTTATTCTCCCTTTGATCTGTGTTGGTGTTGATTTCGTTTGGGGGAATACTACTCATTTCAATCGATGTAATTCTACTTTTGTTTACACGTTTTTCTTGTGCTTCGACCCTTATTCTAAAGCTTCAACCTGGGCTAACTTCGAATTCTTGGAATTTACAGGGACACAATACTTTTCTAGTTCAGAAACTGATTTCAGTGGAATGGTGAATCCAACAGTCGAAGAGCCCGAGTCCTTGGAATTTCTTTTATCGAGATTAGTCAGAGGTTTGTGATTTAGTTTCCCTTTTCGTTTTCAGAATTCAGAAAAATATGTTTACAGATTTTGATGCACGGAAACAGGGAAAGATCGAAGAAATCTTGAAGCGACTGGCTTTGCATGTGACAAGGCTGTTCATTCTGTTGTTTGTGTTGCAAATCAACCTGTAAGGATTGATACCAGCAATATGACAGTATATGTTTTTTCTGATGGAGTTGTGGAACAAGAAACCGTGGTTCGGCCTTATGCAAGACAGGAGGACGATCTTAAGGTTATTACACCGGTCCATATAATAAAAGGAAACACCACTCCTCCTTCTTGTCTATACAATCACAATGTTCCGGCTGTTATTTTTTCATCTGGTACAACAGGAAACGTTTTTCACGAAATTAATGAAATCATTATTCCCCTGTTCATTACTTCTAAACACTTCCAATCCCGCGTGCTCTTTATCCTTGAAGATTACAAGCCTTCATTTATGGGCAAATATGGCAAGGTTATGTCTCATTTGTCGGATTATGAGGTCATGAACCCGGCTGCAAATGGAAGTGTTCATTGCTTTCCAGGATCAGTAGTAGGGCTTAAATACCATGACAATTTAGCCTTGAATTCGAGTGACATTCCAGGAGGGCATTCGATGCGTGAATTTAGGCATTTCCTTAGAGAAGCATACGGTCTGAGGTTCAGGCATGTCAGTCAAATTAAAAAGCCCAGGTTAATGCTTTTATCTCGTAGAAATACTAGAAGGTTCTTGAATGAAGATGAAATGGTTACGATGATGGGAGAATTAGGCTTTCAAGTGATTGTGGTTGCAAGATCAAAGCTGGTATCGAATTTGAATAAATTTTCCCAATTGATTAACTCGTGTAGCGTCATGGTTGGAGCACACGGGGCTGGACTTACGAATGAGTTGTTTTTGCCTTCTGGGGCTGTTATGGTGCAAGTAGAAATACTTGGTACAGAATGGCCCTCAAACACCTATTACGGGAATACTGCTCGTCCAATGGGTGTACATTACTTGAGGTATAAGATTGAGCCGGAGGAGAGCACACTTTTAAAATTGTATGGAAGAAATCATTCAGTCATCGCTGATCCCGGATCTCTCTTCAGAAATGGGGGCTACCGTGCAGCCAGGACCGTGTTTCTTGATCAGCAGAATGTGAGGATCAATCTTGCAAGGTTTAGGAACACACTTGTTGAAGCGCTTAGTCTTGTTACAGACTCGGATTTCTAATTTTTTTTTTCATTTTATTAAATATTTATTGAATTCTCCAATATCATAAGATGTTTAGTTTGTACTCAAGAACAATGAGGTTGTCGTTCTATTGCCTTTCTCAGACGGTAGAAACAACATGTTACAACTGAACTGAAACTAGGAAAGGCAAAACTTCCGTCCCATATAGTAAACAAAATTCTTTTAATTATTTTACAGCCGCTTGAAGTATGATTTTCCCTTCAATATTGAGTACCTAATCCCGCAAACTGACTGGATTAAAAATTTTCGTAATCTCCTTCTTACCAGTATGAGGGAGAAAAATTTAGCAGCTTATTTTGACCTGTTCTTCACCACCAACCACAACAAAAATCACGTTCTTGGAATAGATATTGGTCCCTTCGACTTAAACTTGGCATGTGTATTGCGAGTTATTACTACGGTAGATAACTATCGGGATCAGTCTACAGAATAGACAAATACAAATCATAACAAAGACATCAAAATTTCCAATTGGAAGAGTGTAAAAGGGGAAATTCAAAGAGGCTATCAATTCATAATGCAACTTGTTCATATTTCAATTTTCAATTATTTGGTACTAATACATTGATTGATTGCTTTATCATTTTGAGTTTTTCTTCAACCTTTTTCAGTAAAACCAAGGAAAGAGTCCCCTCAATCGGAAGGTGTCAAGCTGAGGTTTTAGACTTTCAGTTTAGAATCAAATGGTCCATAATTGTCTGATTAGAATTCCGTCTATTACAACTTTGAAGAAGTCAAAAAACAGACAAAAAAGATGAAAATTTAATAATAAATTAATGCGGCTGCTATTCTTTGACACGGCAAAAGAAGATGATTGAAGAATTTCCTTTGTTATCTTTATGAATCAAGGGTCCGTTTGGCAGAGCTTTTTTACAAAGCTAAAAGTTGCTCGTGAGATTAATAAGTTATTTTTAGTCTCGTTTGGATCATTTTCTAAGAATACGGTTAAAACTTAAGCCTCCGTTTGGTAACCATTAAAATTTTCATTCTCATTCTTCTACTCATTTTTAACCACACATTCTTCAATAAAATAATATTTTCCATCACATCAATAACTTTTCCTTCTTTTTCAACCACACATTCTCCATGGACCCCACTTGATGTGAAAGATAAAATGTATTATTTGAAGAAGAATGACTCCCAAACGGAAGAGTTTCTAGAGAATTGAGCTCTTTAACAAATAACATAAGCAAAAGTCATACCTAATGGACTCATCTTCGGCATTTATTCGGCAGCATCAATTTTTCATCAAGGCAAAAACATTCCTCTAACTACCATCAAAATTTGGCTTCTACTATACCAGAATTTAAGGAATCTGGGGGTAGCTGCCTTCTATCGTTGTATCTCCTAGCTGTCAAAATTATTAAATAAAAAATTAATTAATAGTTTATGAAAGCATGGAAGGTGTGGACATCAAGAAAGTCGACCCCGCGATTATTTATTTTTTCTTGTGATTGCGAAATTCTAACAAAATAAATTTCGAGGAATTGTTTATTCTTTGTAATTCCAGGCTTTTCTTGTTTGTTTCTCTAACGCTTTCAGATCGACTGTTGTTCAAAATGATTAAGGGTTTAATCATAATATTCATACTTTGTAATTTACTTACTTTTACAGATAATTTTGGTTTTGAGATGCCAGACTGATAAGGAAATTAACCAATAAAACCAAATTTAATAGGATACTAATCAAATAGAGCAATGCAAGTCCCCAAATTTTTGTGTAGATACCGAAAATGACAATTGATTTAACTTGAGCGTGTAAGGTCAGGTCAACCGATACATTTGCCGGACCCAAAAAATGTCCCCGTCCACCTCATGTAGTGGAAATTCGTCATCCCCGCGTTGGAATGGTAGACACCAAGGTTCTCCCCTTTGGTTAAATCATTGTAGCATAGATGTGAGGGTGTCCATCTTCTTGTAGGTTTAGGAACACTTGTTGAAGCACCTACTCTTGTTGCAGATTCGGATTTCTAGTTTTGTTTTGTTTTTATTGATATTTATTGAATTCTCTGATATAACTCAAGAACAATAAGGTGGTTGTTCTATTGCCTTTGCAGACAGTAGACACAACAGGTTACCATTGAACCGAAACTAGGAAAAGCAGAACTTCAGTCCTATATAGTAAACAAAATTCTTTGTCATTCAGCTACTAGAAGTACGATTTTTCCTTCAATATCGAGTTCCAAATCCTCCAAACGACTGGTTATTAAATTTTTTCGTAGTCCCCTTCTTACCCTGGAGAAGAAGTTAGCAAGTTTTTATTGACTTATTCTTCACCACAGGGCACAGACCACACTGAAGAATCACATTCTTGAAATTGATATTGGTCCCTTCAACTTATACTTGGCGTGTATATTGGGCATTTTTATTATGGTAGGTAACTATCGGGACCAGTATACAAAAATGGATAATCAGTTGGAAGAGTGTAAGGGCAATTCAAATATGCTGTCAATTCATAATGCAACTTGTTCATGCTTTTTTTTTCATATTTCAGTTTTTGATTTTGAGTTTTTCTTCAACCTTTTTCAGTAAAACCAGGGGGAAGACTAAGACGCCCCCTCATATTGGAAGCCGTGGTTTTAGACTTTTCGTTTAGAATCGAATGGTTCATAATTGTCTGAATTGAATTCCATCTTTTACAACTTTGAAGAGGTCAAAAACCAGACAAAAAAGATGAAAAGAACAATAATAAATCAACGCAGCTGAATAAATGCTGAAGATTACTAACACTCTTGTTGATCACAAAGAATAGAGTGGATTTGCGAGACTATTTCTCAATATTTCGCACAATTCCTCGGATTCTTTGTGAATCAATGGCCTTTTTAGCGGAGCTTTTACAAAGCCAAAAGTTATTTCTAAGATTAAGAAGTTTTTGAGCGTAGTTTGGATAAAGCTCTTTAACAAAAAGCATTAGCAGAAGCCTTACAAACGGATTCTAACAAAATAAATTTCGAGGAATTGTTTAGTCTGAATAATTCCAGGCTATTCTTGTTAGTTTCTCTAAATGGTTTCGGATTGTCTGTTGTTCATAATGATTAAGGTTTTAATCATAATTTTAAATTTCATTTATACTATACTTTGTACATTTACTTAGTTTTACAGATCATTTTGATCTTGAGATGCCAGAGTGATTGGGGAATTAACCAATAAAACCAAATATTCAGCAAAAATGCAATGATAAAACCTTTTTTTTTTTTTTCTTTTTTGGTGTAAATTTAATAGGAAACTAATCAAAGAGAGGCTTGAAACTAAATTCAAATAAAAGGCATTTGAAAAGGAAAAAAAAATAAAATTAATAACTAATTCCAATAAAAGACTTTAAAAGAATAAAAAAATTGTGTCTAGGCGTACATTTTAGAACACTGATTTGTTGTAAGGTTTGGTCAACCCAATACATCTGCTCGACCCATCCACCTCATGTAGTGGGAGGTACAACCATCCTTGCGATGGAACGGTAGACATCAAGGTTATCCCCTTTAGTTAAGTTATTGTAGTATAGACGTAAGGGATTCTCATTGCACCATTGTATTCAATTTGTATTAAATTTCATTGTTAAACACAAAAATCAATTCCCAAGGCAACAACAATCGTGTGCTTTAATACCACTTGACTTAATAGGAAACTAATCAAATAGGGCAGCACAAATCCCCCGATTTTTGTGTAGATATCAAAAACGGCAATTGATTTAACGTGATTAATTTTGATGTAAGGTTTGATCAACCCAATACATTTGCTGGACCCAACAACACCTCGTCCACCTTGTGTGGTGGAAGGTATCGTCATACCTGCGATGGAACGGTAGACCTCAAGGCTAATGCCAATTAATTTAACTAAATCAAAAATTTTCAACTCACAAAACCATGCACATGAAACTAGAACGACAAATAAAATCATTCAATTATATTAATCTAATTTAGTAAGAAAGAACGTATAACTTTATTCAGTAGGATCATTGGTCGAAATAGAATTATCCTTTTTTTTCTTTGATCACCACCCATCATACTATGGGAGAGTTGAGTATGCCCAAAGTCCTCTAGCCAGATTCAATTCCCATGGTTCATGCAAGTCCAAAGCATCACAAAATTGTTAAATAGTATTTACACACAAGTTGAGGATAAAAAAGTAGTTGCACAAGAAAAAAGAAGTCAAGAGAGAACAATCCACAAGTTTCATATATTCTTTGCTTAATAACTAGTTAACAAAGAGAGGACCTGTTCAAAGTCGCCTTACAATTGTTGAATAAGATATGAAGTAATTATCAAAGTTAGAAAGGGAAACGGAAAGAAAAATTGGAAAATAAAATGAAATCTCATCAGCTGGTAATATTTTAGTCTTCTAAATATTTATCTACTTCATACTAATTCTTCTCTTGCATATCATACAAGAACTTGTAGCCAGTTCTCAAACTAGTGGAGATGGATAAAGAGCCTCGAAAACTTGTTTTTCGTTCGACTCCAGTGATCTTCCTACTTATCCTTTCTTTGCTTTATTTTGATCTTTTCTGGGCCAATTATATTTCGTTTGATCAATGTAAACTTCTACATATATGACTTCTTCTTTTCTTGAATTCAGTTCTTTTTAGACTATTATGCTGTATGAACATCTGAGATTGAATCTTTCGATGTTGTATGAAAATGGCAGGGAAGAAAAGCTGCTCTAATTCAGAAACTATTTTCAATAGCAGAAAGGTCAAAAATGAAACACTTGAAGAAAAGCAGAACTCCCTGGATTTTCTGTTTTCAAGCCTCTTAGCAGGTATGCGATGACCCCACCCCAACCCCAATCCCAATTAGTAACACCATAATGAACAAAATTTTATGCATTTAAACAGGGGAAGATCAAGTGAAGCTCAAAGACACTGGATTTGCATGTAATAGGGCTGTTTATTCTGTTCATTGTGTTGCCAATCAACCTGTAAGGATTGACACAAGAACGATGACGGTTTACGTTCCCTCTGATGAACCTGTGCAAGAAACTGTTATTAAGCCATATGCTAGGCAAGAAGATCATATTCTTCTCAAAATTGTGACACCAGTCAAGATTTTGCACGGGAACACTACGCCACCAGTTTGTCAGTACAACCATGAAATCCCAGCTGTGATCTTCTCATCTAGTGGCTTTGTGGGAAATGTGTTCCATGAAATCAATGAAATCATCATCCCTTTGTATATTACTACTAAAAACTTTCAATCCCGCGTGCTGTTCGTCCTTGAGGACTACAAGCCATCCTTTCTAAGTAAATATAGCAAGGTAATCTCTCGTTTATCGTCTTATGAGGTCATGAATCCGGCTGCAAATCAAAGTGTGCACTGTTTTCCTGGAGGTGTAGTTGGACTTAAATTTCATGGCCATCTGTCTTTGAATACGAGTGATGTCCCTAAAGGCCATTTGATGCATGACTTGAGACAGTTTCTTCGACAAGCCTTTAATCTCAAGTTTAGCCATGTATCTCAGATCAAAAGGCCAACGTTAATGCTTTTATCTCGTAGAACATCAAGAAGATTTTTGAATGAAGATGAAATGGTTGCAATGATGGAAGAGTTAGGCTTTAGAGTAATCGTTGTTGCAAGAGCGAAAGTAGTATCAAATTTGAACATATTTGCCCATCTGATAAACTCATGCAAAGTATTCGTGGCAGCACACGGTGCTG